TGTAAGGGGGTATACTATTAGGGATCTCTGATGTAAGGGGGCACTCTGATAGGGACCTGATGTAAGGGGGCACTCTGTTGGGGACACCTGATGTAAGGGGGCACTTTGATGAGGACACCTGATGTAAGGGGGTACACTGTTGGGGATCTCTGATGCAAGAGAGTACTCTGATAGGGACCCTGATGTACGGGGGCACTCTGGTGGGGACATTTGATTTTAGGGGGAACTCTGATGAAGGCACTCTCATGGGGACACCTGATGTAAGGGGCCACTCTGATGGGGACATCTGATGTAAGGGGGTACAGTGTTGGGAATCTATGATGTAAGGGGGCACTCTGATAGGGACCCTGATGTAAAGGAGCACTCTGTTGGGGACAGTTGATGTAAGGGAGAACTCTGATGAAGGTACTCTGATGGGGACACCTGATATAAGGGGCACTCTGATGGGGACACCTGATGTAAGGGGGTACACTATTAGGGATCTCTGATGTAAGGTGGCACTCTGATAGGGACCTGATGTAAGGGGGTATACTATTAGGGATCTCTGATGTAAGGGGGCACTCTGATAGGGACCTGATGTAAGGGGGCACTCTTTTGGGGACACCTGATGTAAGGGGGCACTTTGATGAGGACACTTGATGTAAGGGGGTACACTGTTGGGGATCTCTGATGCAAGAGAGTACTCTGATAGGGACCCTGATGTACGGGGGCACTCTGGTGGGGACATTTGATTTTAGGGGGAACTCTGATGAAGGCACTCTCATGAGGACACCTGATGTAAGGGGCCACTCTGATGGGGATCTCTGATGTAAGGGGGCACTCTGATAGGGACCCTGATGTAATAGGGCACTCTGTTGGTGACAGTTGATGTAAGGGGGAACTCTGATGAAGGCACTCTCATGGGGACACCTGATGTAAGGGGGCACTCTGATGGGGACACCTGATGTAAGGGGGCACTCTGATGGGGACACCTGATGTAAGAGAGTACACTGTTGGAAATCTCTGATGTAAGGGGGCACTCTGTTGGGGACAGTTGATGTAAGGGGCACTCTGATGAAGGCACTCTCATGGGGACACCTAATGTAAGGGGGCAAGCTGATGGGATCTCAATGTAAAGGAGGCCTCTGGTTAGGACTCCTGATTTAAAGAGGGACTCTGATAGGGACATCTGATATAAGGAGGACAGGTTCTGTGTCAGCCTGATACATACCAGTGTTTCTCAGGTCGTTACACTGTGACAGACTCTCAGTGACTCACAAACATTGTTGGCATTACACCCCCTGACTTTTTTGTACTGCACCCCCAGACCAGATAGGGTAGATCCGACCCTGCTTGCTCCTCCCTTTCTCTTTCACTCTGGCTACCTTTACAAACACTCTCAATGTCTGCCTGTTGTGAAAGTTCAGTTGCTTTCTGGGAACTGTGAAAACTTATCATAAAATACTTTTTTGCCCACCAAGAAAGAATTCAGCATTGCTTAGCATTGCTGGGTTGGCATAAACAAATTGCTTGTGGGTGGTGCTCACTGCACCCAAGCGGGGACCCAGAGATAGTGTTCGTTAATACCTCCCCCCCCCCCGATGGTGGGCTGATGCTGCAGCACAACGCAAGACTAATATTTAAGGCAGCAATCCAGCTTAAAAGCAAAACTTCTTCACAGAAACACTTTTATTTCCTTGTAATCTGTGGCCCAACTTCTGAACTCTTTTCATTGTTCCCTCCAAATATTGATTCCTCCTAACACTCTATGGATGACAGTTCCTCATTATGCTTCATAACTCTTCTATCAATTTATTGTGCGGAATTTCTGAGGCGGTACCACTGAGCTTGTACCAGACTCCACCAGTCCAGTAACCAGTCATCTCACTCCCAGTGACATTGATTCATATGTTTCACTTGAATATTAGGAAGCTGAACTCTTGTATATCACCTGTATTTACTCTTCTACTGAGGCCTCACTCCCAGGGTGGGTCCCTAAGACACCCAATGCTGCAATATCAAACCCAGTATTGGGGTTCTGATCACTAGGGAAGGAACCTAAGCACAAAAGCTCCTTCACTACTAGGGCCTCCATCACTTTTGACATGTCACCGCTTCTTTCTGCTGTCCTTGGCCCCTGTGCTCTCTCCCGCCTCTCTCCTGGCCCTTCCTCCTCATCTGAAGCACTGCTGGGTTTCCCCCTCCTCTCCGATGGCATTATTTACGACCCCTTCCTTGTCTGAATGGACAGAGTCAGTCAGTGATCGGTACCGGTCACTGACGCTATCCATTCATAATTGAAGCATAGTAAACTGTGTTTACTATGCTTCAGTTTGTGAAGGAACGGGAAGCTTTGTTCAGAGCTATTCCTCTCCATTCATTCAGTGCTGCTGAGGCTGCAGTAAAGGTGATTGAGGTGTCCCCAATCTCCTTTCTCTGTCTCAAAGGTGAAGCCCCTGATATCTCACCATAATTAAAAATGGTATAAAACAATAAAAAAATAAAAATAAAAAACTATTGACACCAGTGGCGGAACTACCAAGGTTGCAAAAGTTCGCATTTGCGACTGAGCCCTGGTGTTCCTCAATCTTGAAGGGAAGGGCCCCGATCAGGGGAGTCCTTCATGGTTTCCCTACTCTCCCTTCACCCAAGTCTACAATCAGCTCTACTCTATTTTATGTCTGAAAAAGAAAGATCTCTATAGAAGAGGAGACTTTTGCCTTTGTGACTAGATTCTTGTTAGATTTTCCAGGAGAATAAAAGAAGCCCAGACTGGTCACTATGAACAACTTCACTTTGAAAACTTTATTATTCTCCAGCTTTGAATATAGATCCTCAAAAATTTAGGAAGATTTTACCTTTGTGTTGAACTTCCTTTCCCAATAAAAATTGTAGGTTTTCTTAAAAATGAAAATAAATATATATTTTGAAGCTTTATTGATTTGTCCAGAATTTATTTTCCTTGTACTGGAAATTATTTGAATTTTAAATGTCAGCATGCTCTTCATAGTACAGCACAATATCTTGTATTTATAGCAATTAAACTGTGCTTCTGTCCAGGACTGTTTTATGTAGCTGCTCTGTATATAGCTGATGACTTAATCTGAAATACACAGGAAACTACACTGCATCATTGTCCTCCACGGAAGCTTTAGGAAATACTCTGGACATCCGTTCTGTGGATACGCTATGCACTGCACTCTTCATCATAGTGATTGGAGATATTTTGATAATTTGACAAACCAAAAAACAGTGCAGAAACTTCAGCGACCCATAGGACCAATCGGCAGTTACATTTCCTTGTTCTAATGCCTGTAAACTGGTGAACAGGTGACGTCAAATGGTACCTACATAATTTTAATAATTTATCTGTTCTTAGCTACATTAAAAAATCAGCAATGATTTATAACTGTGTATTTAATCACCACTGAATTGCTTACCAAAATTATATGTGCCTTTTATCTCTAAGATTTTCCTTATGAGTAAAACTGTATGCATACTGTAATACATGACGTGATCTCAGATGTCAAATACATTAGGGAAACCTTGTGTTGCATTCATTAATAATTTTAGTTGATTTTTTTTGTTTTTGTTGTTCTATATTTTTTTATATTTATATTTTTTTTACACGTATACATTTAAAAAGACATTAAATGAAAAGCCAACATTTTACATGTATGATATGAGAATATAGTAGTATAAGTATGTTGTAAAGATTATAATACTTATAGCAGGGTTAGTATCCCTTTTAGGGAAACCCCTTCCCTGGGTGGACCTAATGAGTGGGGCTAGTCAGTCCTTTATAATAATATAGGAAGTGTGTGGGGCAGAGGATGATGGCAAAAGACTACCCCTAGTATACTGATTTGTAAACTTGTAGCCTTAGAAACCCTTTGGGGTAGGTCCGTAACAGGCTCGGATGGAGAACTCACTTATGAGATACCTATGGTAAGGACCGTGTAAGAGTTGAGCTTCTATTCTATGTTATTGTTGGGCTTGCATTATGCAGAATTATGATGTTGAGTTTGACAGAGCAATGGTTAAGGTTGTGTACTGTTTGTTATTCATTTGCTACAGTAAAGCATTAAAAAACTGAACATGTGGACATTCCTTATTTCTTGAGGTGGACCTCAGACCAGGTGAGTGTGAGGGATCAAAGATGGGGGAGCTTCGGAGCTTTTCCACATTACAGGTGTGTGTGTGCCCTGAGCAGGATGGTGGGAGGGGCCCTTGACCAGCATGGTTGTTATTAGCGACAAATCAGAGCTCCAATACTGTTTTCAAATTCTTCTTTTATTCCTTATACAACGTGGTCACGTGTCGACTTTTCACATGCACCTCACTGTGCAGTAGGTAGGCAGAGCAAGCAGAAGACCTCTTATGGATCCTGCAGATGTCACTGCAGGATGTTTTCTTTTTTTTTTTTTTTTTTTTTTTTTTTTTTTAGTGGCTGTTTAGTGTGATATTGCCGCCACAGGATTTTTTTTTTTTTTTTTTTTTTTAGTGGCTGCTCAGTGTGATATTGCCGCCACTGAATTTAAATCACAAAGCTGGAGCCGCCCACAAGTTGATGTAAAAAGTCACCTGGTACAACTTGAATAGGAAATGAGGGCACTCTACATCGTGAGGAAAAGAGTTTTAAGCTCCACAACACATATGGAAAGTTTTCTTCACAGTAAGAGCTGTGAAGATGTGGAATAGACTCCCTCCAGAACTAGTTCTGGCTAGCTCTGCAGATTGTTTAAAAACAGAGCTGGATACATTTCTAAATTGACAAAATATAACCATATACTAATATATATTAGGTAATAACACCAAAGATTGGTAATCCAGAGAATATCTGATCTGATTTGGGAGATCAAGAAGGAATTTATTTTTCCCCACTGGAACAAATTGGATTATGCTTTTTAGGGTTTTTTTGCCTTCCTCTGGATCAACTGTGGGTATAGGATTCTGTATGTGGAAGTTTTTTTTTTATTTATGTATTCTATTTAGTTATTTTATATAGATGGACTTTTCAATATACACACACTATATTGCCAAAAGTATTGTGACACCCCTCCAAATCATTGAATTCAGGTGTTCCAAGCACCTCCATGGCCACAGGTGTATACAATCAAGCACCTAGCATGTAGAATGCTTCTACAAACATTTGTGAAAGAATGGGTCGCTCTCAGGAGCTCAGTGAATTCAAGTGTGGTACCGTGATAGGTTGCCACCTGTGCAATAGGTCCATCCGTGAAAATTCATTGCTACTAAATATTCCACAGTCAACTGTTAATGGTATTATAACAAAGTGGAAGCAACTGGGAACAAAAGCAACTCAGCCATGAAGTGGTAGGCCACATAAAACGACAGAGCGGGGTCAGCGAGTCACTTTATTAGGTACACCTTGCTAGTGCCAAGAAAAGATCCCCCACACCATTACACTACAGCTATCAGCCTGAACCATTGATACAAGGCAGGATGGATCCATGCTTTCATGTTGTTTACATCAAATTCTGACCCTACGATCTGAATGTCGCAGCAAGCAGTCTGCCCATTCTCTTCTGACCTCTGACATCAACAAGGCATTTTCGTCCACACAACTGCCGCTCACTGGATATATTCTCTTTTTCGGACCATTCTCTGTAAACCCTAGAGATGGTTGTGCATGAAAATCCCAGTAGATCAGCAGTTTTTTTAAATACTCAGACCAGCCCATCTGGCACTAACAACCATGCCACGTTCAAAGTCACTTAAATATCCTTTCTTCCCCATTCTGATGCTTGTTTTAAATGGCTAAATGCCACGTGATTGGCTAATTAGCAAATTGTGTATATACAGTTGTGTTCAAAATAATAGCAGTGTGTTGAAAAAAGTGAATAAAGCTCAAAATCCTTCTAATAGCTTTTATTTCCATACACACAAATGCATTGGGAACACTACACATTCTTTTCCAAATCAAAACATGAAGAAAAATAAGTCAAATTTGTGTTGTTCCTCTAAAAAAATTGAAGAAAAGTGAATATTAGACTGTTCAAAAAAATAGCAGTGTTTGTATTCTTCTTTACAAACTCAAACATTCACTATATAAACTGAAAAATGTTTGAAGATTTTGCTTTCCTTTGAATCACTTAATATTTGGTTGTAGTCGCACTGTTTCTGAGAACTGCTGTACATCTGTGTTGCATGGAGTCAACCAACTTCTGGCACCTGTGAACAGGTATTCCAGCCCAGGATGATTGGACTACATTCCACAGTTCTTCTCTATTTCTTGGTTTTGCCTCAGAAACTGCATTTTTGATGTCACCCCACAAGTTTTCTATTGGATTTAGATCTGGGGATTGGGCTGGCCACTCCATAACGTCAATCTTGTTGGTCTGGAACCAAGATGTTGCATGTTTACTGGTGTGTTTGGGGTCATTGTCTTGTTGGAACACCCATTTCAAGGGCATTTCCTCTTCAGCATAAGGCAGCATGACCTCTTCAAGTATTCTGATGTATTCAAACTGATCCATGATCCCTGGTATGCGATAAATAGGCCCAACACCGTAGTATGAAAAACATCCCCATATCATGATGCTTGCGCAACCATGCTTCACTGTCTTCCCAGTGTACCGTGGCTTGAATTCAGTGTTTGGGGGTCGTTGGACAAACTGTCTCCGGCCACTAGACCCAAAAAGAACAATCTTACTTTCATCAGTCCACAAAATGTTGCGCCATTTCTCTTTAGGCCAGTCAATGTGCTCTTTGGCAAATTGTAACCTCTTCAGCACATGTCTTTTTTTCAACAGTGGGACTTTGCGGGGGCTTCTTGCAGATAGCTTGGCTTCACATAGGCGTCTTCTAATTGTAACAGTACTCACAGGTAACTTTAGACCTTCTTTGATCTTCCTGGAGCTGATTGTTGGCTGAGTCCTTGCCATTTTGGCTATTCTTCTATCCATTTGAATGGTAGTTTTTCGCTTTCTTCCACGCCTTTCAGGTTTTGGTTGCCATTTTAAAGCATTTGCGATCATTTTAGCTGAGCAGCCTATCATTTTCTGCACTTCTTTATATGTTTTCCCCTCTCCAATCAACTTTTTAATCAAGGTACGCTGTTCTTCTGAACAATGTCTGGAATGACCCATTTTCCGGAGAATTTCAGAGAGAAATGCACTGTAACCAGCATGTACAACATTTGCTGCCTTCCTTCCTTAAATAAGGGCAATAATTGCCACCTGTTTTTCAAAGAATGAATGACCTCACTAATAGAACTCCACACTGCAATTTTTTTGAATATGCCCCTTTCAATTAGTGATTCAATTACACAGAATCAGCAGCATGCATGTCATGACTGTTGGGTCTGTTGGATTTCTATTACTCTACTACACCTCCTAGTAAATTATTTGCCATGTAGAAATTTCATTTCTACCAAAAACAGTGATTGATCAGGTTAGTGATGTCTGACTGCTATTATTTTGAACACAACTGTATAATGTAACATATATCTGGTGTATTTCTTCAAGTAGTTCAGGAGCTTTAGCTACACATGCTTCAACTTTCCCAATCCCTCGTGCAACAATCTATTTCATCAAAGAGCTGCTACTACTTTAGTTGGGTAATAGGCTGCTTCCTTATGAAATCATTTAGCTTCCCTTTGCTTCCTTGCTCCTCATCAAGATAAGATTTTTAAGCTGGTTGTTCTGGGCTTCAGTGTTTACAGTGCCATGTTCAACCACTTATCTAGCTAAAGGAATGAGGAAGAGAAAAAGGACTGGATGAAGCAGCTTATTACACAGTTGATGTTCTGGTCTCCTTTTGGAGCAAACTACTACAAGCTGCTAAAATGGAAATGTCTGAATTCCAGTATTCTCTGTCAAAGTGTACAAGACAGATAGCTGTCTCATAATCCAGCCTTTTTTGACTGGATTGCTTGATGATCCATTGTCTATGGGGGAATTTACAGCAGCTCCAACAGAGCATTCTTGGGATGCAAAGCTTTATGGCAGATGATATAGCCTCAACCATCGAGTTACAAATGTATTGTTCAACAGTCCATGTGCCTAATGATTGGGCTGCTATTTATTTGTAAAGTACAGTTTTTATTTAACATTTAAATATAGGTTCACTTTAGCATATGCAGGTAGTGAGACAGTATTAGCTAATTAAAATAGACATAAATGACAGGTATAACATGTTTTACTATATCCAGTTGATGGTATTATAAGTCATTAGTAGTCGTGGTACTTAATAGCAGTGTAGCATATAGATATTTTTTATTGAATCAAAGGATATAATTTTTCTGTCTTAGGCTACATTCACATGGCAGTTTTACCCTTTCACAGGTGCAGCCACTGGCAACAATCTCTGATTCTTGCCGGTGGTGGTAAATGCTGCTTGCACACACTATGTGCAAACAACTGCAGCTGTCAGCAGTGGTGGTCAGATTTGTACTCCATGAAAAACAATGGCCAGCACCACCACTGTCTGTATGTACATCTGAGCGGTTACATGTGAATAGATTCCCTGACCAACCTTGGACACTACCGGTGTTCATCAAAAGTTGCAGTTTCTGCAGAGTTCTGGCTGCACACAATATGGTGTCAGAGTATTGCTGTGTCCAGAGTTGGCGCATGGCTGCCTCTGAACGTAGAAAACTACTCATTGCTATACTGCTCTGTGACTGTAGCCTTATTTAATAAGTATTGTTGGAAAAAGAAAAATGGAGCTCATAACAGCCACATACCCCATACTCCTGGTGTATATTTTCCAGTGTGAAAATGTAGGCACACATTTTACAGGTCGTTGTTGGCTGCACAGACATGTTTTCTTGCTGGTTTCTTTTATAAATCAACTTAAAGTTTTATTTTTTCCCTCCGTTCAATGCGTGCAGAATATATATTTGCTGTCACTTTTGTCATGATATGGAAACCACATGTTGTCACTAGACTAATAAAGCTATGCATTGTCTTTGTCTATGAGCATAAAGAACAAATAAGTCTCAACAAAGGAATTTTCAAAATGATAAAAATTGCTGGGCACATTTAATGTCACCTATCTATTGCTTGTTTTACAATATCAAATCTTGCTGTTAATATGTTTGCTGATACAATGTTACAATTATCATAAACCAAAGAAACTCAAAAAAATAATAATTATAAATTATGTGTATTGGGAATGGCAGTGTGACATCAACTGTGGGTATAGGATTCTGTATGTGGAAGTTTTTTTATTTATTTATTCTATTTATTTATTTTATATAGATGGACTTGTGTCTTTTTCAATATACACACACAATTTTGCCAAAAGTATTGGGACACCCCTCCAAATCATTGGATTCAGATGTTCCAATCACTTCCATGGCTACAGATGTATAAAATCAAGCACCTAGGCATGCAGACTGCTTCTACAAACATTTGTGAAAGAATAAGTCACTCTTGGGAGCTCAGTGAATTCAAGCATGATTCGTGATAGGTTGCCACCTGTGCAATAAGTCCATCCGTGAAATTTCCTTGCTACTAAATATTTCATGGTCAACTGTTGGTATTATAACAAAGTAGAAGCAACTGGAAACAACAGCAGGCCACGTAAAATGACAGGGCAGAGTCAGCGCATGCAAGTTGCCAACTGTCTGCAGAGTCAATAGGTAAAGACCTCCAAACTTTGTGTGTCCATCAGATTAGCACAACAACAGTGCATAGAGAGCTTAATGGAATGGGTTTCCTTGGCGGAGCAGCTGCATCCAAGCCTTACATCACCAAGTGCAATGCAAAGCATTGGATACAGTAGTATAAAGCACACGCCACTGGACTCTGGGGCACTGGAGATGTGTTCTCTGGAGTGACGAATCAAACTTCTCTGTCTGGCAATCCGATGGACGTGTCTGGGTTAGGCAGCTGCCAGGAGAACAGTACTTGCCTGACTGCCTTGTGCCAAGTGTAAATTTTGGTGGAGGGGGGATTATGGTGTGGGGTTGTTTTTCAGGGGTTGGGCTTGGCCCCTTAGTTAAAGGGAACTCTTAAGGCATCAGCATACCAAGACATTTTCGACACTTTCATGTTCCCAACTTTGTGGGAACAGTTTGGGGATGGCCCCTTCCTGTTCCAACATGACTGCGCACCAGTGCACAAAGCAAGGTCCATAAAGACAGGGATAAGCAAGCTTGGGGTGGAGGAACTTGACTGGCCTGCAAAGAGTCCTGACCTCAACCCGATAGAACACTTTTGGGATGAATTAGAGCGGAGACTACGACATCAGTGCCTGAATTCACAAATGCGCTTCTGGAAGAATGGTCAAACGTTCTCATAGACACACTCCTAACCTTGTGGACAGCCTTCCCAGAAGTGTTGAAGCTGTTATAGCTGCAAAGGGTGAGCCAACTCAATATTGAACCCTACGGACAAAGACTGGGATGCCATTAAATTTCATGCGCGTGTAAAGCAGGCATCCCAGTACTTTTGGCAATATAGTGTATTTGCATTAGCTTGTTTTATTATTTTTAATTAAGCTTTGATTAGTTAAAATTATTTGACATGGAAATTGGGTCAGGGGCATTCTAAGGCTGGTAAAACAGCTTTCCAATGTAGTGACTGGAAATTCATGAATACCTTGGCCAGAGGCTGTGCTGCACTGGAAAGACCACACAGTGAAGGTTTCACAAAGAAAAGATGAGATGGGGTAGCGTCAGATCTCTGCCTGCCTGAACTACCCTGCATTTTGCCATGATGGGAAGGTCTGGAAAGGCACTGGTAGGGGTCTACCCTTCATACATGCAGTCATTTTAATTCTTTCTTCCATTGACAGTGTTTCTGTAAGTTAGGGCCTATGTATGCAGTGTGTCTGGGTTTTGTGGGACTCCCTGCTCATGCATTAATAAAAAACAATTGTCTGACAGCTACAAATACTTACTACCTTGCTGTTTTAAGAATATTATTAGTTCAGCAACCTCATCTATATCTTATAGCTATAGCTTCTGCAGTTTTTATTACTCATACTGCTGCTGTAGCACATCATTGATAAAAATGAATAAAGAAGCAAGCTGAATGTAATATGAATAATGAAGGAGTTCACATGAACCTGTTAAGAATATATGATATATATATATATATATATATATATACAGTACGGTTGTACATTTGTGAATGATTACAGTGAGACTGAGGTGTAGATTAGGGGGAGGGGTGATTTGGGGGTCCAAACACCCCCCAAAGGCATCCTTCCATGGCACAGGTGCTGCAGCTAGGCTAGAAATACCCAACAGCAGATTTGAACTGATGTAGGAAGCCTCAATAAAGCACTTATTTAAGGATTAGCCTGTTCAATATGAACAAGCTAAGTCTTGGAAAGGTATTAGATTGAGGTGGTCTACTTCCTGCGTATGAGTAGTGAATGCCATTTGGTACTCTGCAGTGGCAGCGTGCAGTCACATTAGAGTACAAAGCAACAGAGCTGGACTTGGTAAGTGACAGTGCTCCCATATCTAATGCAGAAATCAAGCTACCTTTTTTTTATACCTATAGGGATCTTTTGCCCTGTAAAGGCCTCTAAACATATTATGTATGCACTTCCTGTCCAGCGACGGGACAAGGGGTGGGCGGAAAGGGTGCCTGCCCTGGTCATTATGGGTTTTTGTAATGATGGAGGTACTACTGGGCATATAATAAGCATGCACATCATGATGGGAGGGCGCAGTTTGGCATCTTTGCCCAGTGTGCTGGATGACCTTGCCCTGGCACTGTTCCTGTTCCTGCGTTGTTGGCTTTAAAACCCATGATGGAGGAAGTGGAAAGAGAGAGAATGTCTCAGCCACATTTCCTGTCCTTGCTGCTAAACCCGTAACCATAAAGGACTAATATGGAAATATTCCTATTATCTAACAATTTACCTGCAGCTGCAAAGTATATATCTAAATCTTTGTGACAAAGTATGTTTGCACTGTCCCTGTTATTATCTCAAACTCAGACTGATTTTACTGTTGTGCGTTTAGTAACACTTTAGGCGTTGACAATAAAACCTGGAAGCTGATTGGTTTATATGCAGAGTTGCGCAAGATTTTGCACTCTCCAGTTTTAGTAAATAATCCCCTATGTATCAAAGCAGCATCCCCATGAATGACAGAACCAAGGTTTCCTAGGAGAACATTGTCAAAAGCATCACACTGCCTACCTTCTTTACATCCTGGTGCATCCTGGTGCCATCTCTTCCCCAGGTAAGCAATGCACACACATATGGCCATCCACATGTTGTAAAAGAAAATGTGATTTATTAGCCAGGCCACATTCTTCCATTGCTCCATGGTCCAGTTCTGGTACTCACTGTAGCTATTTTTGGCTGTGGACATGGGTCAACATGGACACCCAGGCCAACAGAGGGGCCCAGGCAGCTGGGGTGAACTGAATGTGGGCAGGGAGGGTGATCAGCATGGCATGTGGGGGGGAATGACTGGAAATTATCACCTATATGGCTCTTCCTGGAGCAGCTGAAAGATGGATTCTTCTCCTCTCCCTCCCAGCTGCTGCAGAGATAGCCATACAGGAAATGCTGCCATGACCCCCCTGTGTGCCCCCACCCCTGCAGTGCTGCCGGCTTCTATTCTCTGCTTCACTCCGGCAGCTGCAAGCACACAATAGGATCCTTCAGGGTGGTAATTGGGGGAAAGGTCCAGTAAATATGTTAAAGTTACCAACCCCTTTCTTTCCTGAATGAACACAATAAGTTATTGGTACCGATCACTCACTGTGTTCATTCATAACTGAAGCATCATAAACTTTTTTTTTTCTAGAGAGGGCCCCTGTCAGGTTGGTTGTATGGGGCCCCGTGGTTTCTAGCAGTAGCCCTGCTGACAGACTGTCACTCCAGTAAGTGCACAGTGCATAATGAAGCTACAGTGGAGCTCACCGTGATAGCAACTGAAGCCCTCAGATCAGAATACTCTAGCTGCTGCTGATCAATCAGGAGCATCATGGTCCTGATATTGAGCATCACCAGCCATTTTTTCTTCCAGACGCCAACTACTAGTGACTGTTTAAATGACAGCCTTTCAGACCGCCAAGAGAGACTTTAGTGACCAGATCGTTGGACAGTGTTTTTGTAGTCTCCATGGCAAACTAGCCACTGGGAATTGTCCAGCCTTTTAGTTCAATAGTAGAATACTTCGGCTTACCAGTTGCCTGGTATAAGAGAAGAGTGGCATAAGATAGTTGGCCTAGGGCAGGGGTGGGCAACTGTGGTCCTCCAGCTGTTGTGGAACTACAAGTCCCATGAGGCATTGCAAAACTGACAGTTACAAGCATGACTCCCAAAGGCAGAGGCATGATGGGACTTGTAGTTCACCAACAGCTGGAGGGCCACAGTTGCCCACCCCTGGCCTAGGGGTACAGAAAGTATAGAACCTGCTGGGGCGATCCTCAATGTCTCCATTACAGACTCATATCTCTACAGAGCAAAATGGGCATATGAAAAACTCCCATGCCAACATAGATTTAATCCTACTTTAATGTTTGAAACTCAGGATAGGATAAAAACAAAAATGTATTAAAATAGCCTTATTGAAAGGTAGGTTTGCATTTGCCTAATGGACACTTGTGGTGAGGATGAAAAAGAAGAAGAAAAAAGCCTTATGCCACTAAAGTTTGTAGTTTAAATGAAAAGTAAATACACTTAAGATAAGAGTGTAAATGCATTTATTGATGTGACTTACAGATCAAAGTGCATGAGATGTGATTAATAGGCTTTCCACTACTTATCTGTAATACAGTACCTTTTGAAAATGGTTCAGAACATATACAGAGGATGTTCAATGCAAAGTGTTCTCAGGATCTCAGAATAACAGAGACTGGATACAAAGCTGAGTTGCTAAGGAATAATGTTGTCAACCTGTACTTAGTTAACAAGTAGGAGTATGGTGATTGACAATAAAAAAATACTGCATACAGGGGGAGGTAATTGATTATATGCTATAGTCAGAATGTTAAAAAATAATACTGAAGAAATGACAACAGATGAAAAAAAGTATAACAATTATTTCTACCATAGACTTCTATATCATTTCTATCTCAATGCAGCTGAGCATGTGACAGACCTCATACACTGTCTGATGTATTTTAGGTGTCATCAGATGATAAATCTGGGTATTTGTGAAGCAGATTAAAAAAAATGACAGTCTACATAATTCCAGGATATTGTCATTTTGGTGAAATCTGTTATGAGAATAAATTAATAAATAAAATTAATACATTTGTGGGCAGGTCCCTACAAGTTAAAGTGTTACTAAACCCATGCATTCACTATATCTGGTCTCCCACAGTACACAGAACATAGAAATGTAATTATTGTAGTAAATATAAACCTTTTCTCATCAGCAGTATATAGCAGTCTTGTGACTTCTATCAATGTCCAGCTAAGCACTGGTTAAAGCTTGTAGGAGGAGTTTTCATTCTGATCTGACTGTCCTATGAGGCTGCATAACCCCCGACCCTCTGTCTGGACAGCGCTGATTGGCCCTGTGCTGATCACATGCACCCTCCCAAAAACTCTCTAGCAATACACACTAAACTGAGCATGTGCAGAGTGACTCCTAGAGCTCTGTACTATCAGCAGATGGTTTGCAGACAGTAGAAGAAGGGGAAGATAAGAGAAGTCA